ATATTGTATTATATTATTGTCATGTATATTATACTCAACGTGTTTAACACCCCTTTTACTGTTTTTGCCCCAAAACAAAGTCTATTTTGACCTACAAGGAAGGGGCGCAAGGTAGAAATGGCCGATCACCACTGATGCATGTCATTACAAACAGCTTGGAGCGTCATTTACATTTTTGTCTCTCAGATCTGCAGCACGCTGATGGGAAAGACGTATTGAGTGTTCATATCATCGAAGTTTGCGTTGTTCTAAATGATGCAAACTATGAAAATCTTCCATTTGCTTCTTGCACCACAAAATATAATACATTCGAAGAGGGCCAGCATTACCTTGAGCATAGATAGCTGTTCCATAGGTTTTGGCCCAAAATGAACTTGAGTGTTGAATTGACAGCGTTCTAAGCTCTCTGTGATGGAATTCATTTAATCGTGATCGGCCACTTCGATTTCGCGAAACCTTCTTAGTAAAACTGTGCGCCTGCCCACAATTCTTCGTAAGCCCACTTTTAAGAAAATTTGACAAGTTTGCATTGACTAATGAAAACTGCGGATGTGCATTCAAGATCCGCGCGCGGTGAATTGATAATTTTGAGTCGCCAACGATAGCATCTCGCAATAGCGCTAGTTATGACCATGGTGAAACACTTAGTGGATACGCTCTTGTGACTGCTTACAAATATCATTAACTAGCTGGCTTACCCGGCTTCACAGGCCTGTCAAAACACTATGATAAAGTCTTCTTATCCCTATCCCGGTACAACCTTTCCCTGTGCCCACTTCTACATGCCAATTCCCTATTCCCGCTGAGTTAGTTATCAGCATGTGCGATTACCCCCCCCCCTATGCCAACTTTCAGCCCTGTAGTTCAAATTTTGCAAAAAAATGATAAAGATTGTTAAAATCGATATCAGTCGATGACAAAAAGTAGCCTATGACACCCCCCTCGAAGTGTACGTGTGCGAAGTTTGGCTTGGATCAGTTCAGAACTGAAATTTTCTATTCGGAAGATACGTACATACAGACACAGACAGAGACATACAAATAGACATCCAGCTTTATATATAAGATGAAAAAGGTGTGAAAAGTGCGAGTAGGTTGGTTCACAAGTGAAAAACGTAGAACGGTGAAAAACTTCGGTTTGCACTCAGCAACTTTATACAAATCAGTGAGGAAGTTTGCATTATCCTTTAATATTTCCATGTACCCTCCTGTATGAACTTGTGTCCGCTGTTATCAATATGTTGGTAAGCCACGCCAAGATTTGATTTTCTTTTCCTACCTTGGATTGCTAACAGGTCGCTCGAAAAAGTGTAGGTATAGCTAGCTATCTTTCAGAAATAGTATACCAAAACGCACCGCCAAAGCGAAGGATGTGACTTTGCGAAAAATTCTCTCAGAAGAAGTTGTGAGGCCGAAAGTCTAAATCTCTGTAGCCTCAAGTGGCTAAAATATGCGAGAAACTGTACGAAAACGTTAAAAATAGGTGACCAATTTCATACTGTATATTGACTACACGTAACGGTCACAGCCGCTGCAAATAACATACAGGGCTATCAGAGTGCAGAGTCGGGTGCAATAGCAATCTTCACTCCCGCGCGTCCGCCTCTCCTGGACTCTGCGCCTCTTTCGCGAACAAGTTCTCTTATCGTTTCCAAGCCACGGGCTTGTGAAAGGAGGAGCTTCAGTCGCTGACTGAGCATGTGAAAACGATTGGACAGCAGGTTCCCAAAAAGGTGCATAGTCCGGACGAGGCGGCCACGTGGGAACGATGATGCTGGTGCACACGACTCTGCGATTGATAAGCACTGTAAGTGTTTTTGTACAGCTCTTCGCTGGTTTTATGGGGTTCGATAAATTCAACTTTCAGTCACAACTTCTTCCAGAAAGTTGCTTCGCTGAAAAGAAAAGCAGAAAAGATCTGAGATCAGCATTTTAGGACGCTTCTGTTGTATACGTTTCTTTCCAATTTCTCGAACGACTTGGTATTTTCTCTTGTTAGAAAAAGTGTTTGAATAATCACACAAGGCAGTGAGAACTGCTTATGTGAGGCCCCTATGCGCGCACATCTTCTTTGGAGATGGAAGGAAAGCTGAGAACGGATGCGTCTATATCTTGTTCACTAACTATCTGTATTCTTCTTTGTCTACCTGGATTATAAAGGTCCTGTATTTTGTTAATGGAGCCCGGCTCCGCCCGGCCCTGTCAATATGCTATGACAAAGGTAACTATTCCCATTTCTGTACAATATTACCCTGCCCTGTCTTACTTCTGTGTGCCATTTCCCTGCCCCCATATACGGCTTTCCAATCCGCATGCTCACTTACCCCTCTGTGCCAACTCCCAGCTCTCCGGTCCACACTTCGCAAAGAATCGATAAATGGTAATTGCAATGGGTGTTTTTCCAAAACAATATTACTTTCGTTGTTACCATGCTCACTTACTCCCTTACTCCCGGCTATTGGCGCTAATTCAAATTGCAAATACTCGGTAAAATCGATAAACGTAACCGACAGTTCTAACAATAAGTAAGCTGTGCTGTGACCAGCATACTAAAATACCCCCTGCGATGCCAACTCCCAGCCCCTTAGCGCAAAGTTTACAGATAATCGATAGTTGACGAAGGAAACTGATGATCTCAAAAGCATACCTTATTCGTAATCGGCATGCTGACCCTTCCCCCCCCCCCCCATATGCCAATTCCCAACCCGTAAGTCAAAGTTAGAAATTCGATGAAAAGTAGCCCACAAAATACCCCTCCGGCCATGAAGTGTATGTGAGCAACGTTTGATTCGGATAGGTTCCGAAATGGAATCAGCTGTTTGGAACATGCGTATCCACATAATACAGACGTACAGAAAAACAGACATTTAGCTTTATATCTTACCATAATAACGCGCTAAGACTGTCTGCTTTTTAATGTATGGATATGTTTAGTAAAAAATGAAAATGTCACGAAAGTCGCTGAAGGAGCACCCAAAAATTAGACACAATTTTTGCATAACGCATACAACTAGTATGTACACTAACATGCCGATGCAATAGCGGATCAATTGTGCGGATTCTTCAAAAACTGCGATTAAGGTCATGTGAATCGCCAAGCGATTCAAATGCAGGGCTCGGCATGAGGTGGATTTTTCAATTTTTCAAAAACGAAGTCCCTGTAGACTTTCGCACAAAATTACGACATCGCCCTCTAACGCGATCATGAATGGATCAAAAGAGTAGCGAAAAATAATGAAACAAAACATAAAAGTTACATCGAAAGACAAAAAAACTGAAAATGTTCGTATTCTTCGAGTTGGCGGCATGCTTTGTCCGGCGCGCACCTTTGCACGCTCGGAGCGTTCTTGCCGCCGCCACACAAAATATTTGCAGGGCTGTAACCACGCGAGGAAGAAGGGGTTAGGGAGATTCAAAAACTCAGTTGTAGGATTTTTGGTGTAGAAGAAGTATGTCAAATATGTGAAAAAATATTGTGAAGGAAGAAAAATATACGACTTTTTCTTTTTACAGCTACCTCAGGTAGCTGCGTCCAGGTGGCTATAAAGCACCTAAGTCCGAAAAAAGTTTGCCACGCCTTCAGTTCGCATGATTTTTCATAAATTCTTGCACATAATCCTAACTCATTATCACCCATCAACACACCAATTTTTATGTCATTTCATTTTCTCTTCGCAAACAAGTCCTTTGTTTATTTCGGGGCAGGTTTGAATTCGCGCGCTTAACCGGCGAACATGTTGAAACAGGAAATTTTTGGTTTTTGCAGATCGATAAGGCAGAAACGACTATTTGCATCTTCTGTAGAAGATGGGTGACTTAAAGGCAGAAGGCGGTTATGTGTGAGGGGGGGGGGGGTCCGCTTCAACGACATCCTCCTTGCTTTTTATTCCAAACCGATAGAATAGCCTAGATGATAAAAACACGCACTGTTTCTATTATCTGTTGAGATTGTTTCTAACTCTGGTAAGATAAATGACCTTGGATCACCTCAGCAGATCATCTGAAGGCAGAGTCCAGGCAAGTCTGGACACATGGGGATCTCGCGTGGATAGTAATTTTGGGGCTCTTACTAAGCCGCTGCCTAACCGGCAGCTCAGGCAGTGCTCAAGCGGCGGAGATATCCCCCTCGAAATTGGACCCCGCGATCGTATTTCGCATGGATCCATGGCGCAAAGCACGGGTCCTGGGGCGAAACTGCCATGAATCCATGCGATTACGGCGGGGTCCAGTTTCGAGGGGAAAATCTCAGCCGTTAGAGCACTACCTGCGCTGCCGCTTGGGCAGTTAGTTAGGGCCCCAAAAGTACAATACCACTCTCATAACGTGCAAAATTTCCGTGAATGTCGCGAAATTCCGAAATTTCCGCGAACTTTCCGGAATTTCGCGAAATTCCGGGAATGTCGCGGAATTTTCGGAATCTCGCGACATTTTCGGAATTTCGCGACATTTACGGAAATTTTGCACATTCTGTGAGCGGTATTGTACTTCCTCTAGACTGCTTTAATACATCTGTCTTAGAAGTCAAAAATTAACAACTGATCAATCTATTTTTAGGAAACTTCATTCTGTCTCTTGGATCTTATGACCGCGATTGCTGCCACGGATGCCGTTTTGATTTTCCAGATAATAAGCTTCTATGGTCATAATGGAACAAAAAATGGGAAGAAAATGACGCGCTGTTTCCCTCAATTTTCCAAAGAAGCTAGATAGAACTCTTTACGGTAACATGGCCACGACAGGGCGTGCCAATTTAAAGACACTCAAAAATCAAAAGTGGAAACATTGTTTACACAACGAATAAGAGATACACAGAATAAGAGAACTTTTAGGCTGGATTAATTTTCTTTTTAGCAATTTTAATTCAATGTGTTCTTCGCTAAACTGCGTAAGGAGGATTTTTCGCTTGATCTTCTATGAAACATAGCTGCTGACAAATGATTGACTTTGTTGCAGAGTGAAGGCACTTGGAAAATACCACACACTCTTAGCAAAGTATTTCACGTTGAATTTCCCTGCAAACACGCTGCACAATGCTTTATTTCATCTTATCACAAGAAGAAACATGCAATGAGGAAAAGTGCTCTTTTCATTCAGCAAAATTCCTTCCATAACTTGCAGGAACAGTTTTTTCGGCATGTGTAATTGACAACTTTGCACTTCTTCTCACATTCCTCCCTGAAAACACAACATTTTTGTCGCGCATTAAAACAACGTAATTTCACTCTTACAAGAATTTCGCTTCTTCTGGCGTGATGGTTTTAGCATACGTTAGCCCTAAGAAACAGGCTCCCAGGAGGAAAAGGAAAAACAGGAAGTTCATAGTTATTTCCAGCAATTGAGTGTGCTCTGAAAAATTCTGATGAATTTTTGGGTTTGTTTATACTGGTACACGAGAGAAAAGCGACAGCACAGCGTTTATAACTGATTGAGTCTCCTTTGCAAGAAATGGATATTGAAGAAGATGGATCGAAGCGTCTTGCTGTTAGGAGATTAGAGAAGTCCAATGAAAGTTGCATTGGGCTTGTAACCAATGAGTTGATCTGTAGTGTGATGCTCGCGTTTCAGTCAATTTTCCACTGAAGTGGTAGGATTCGTAATAATAAACGGTGTTTTCTCTCTTTTTCGCAGATTGTCCACTCTTCCATATCCAAAGAGATATTGCCTGGATAAGAGCAAATGCTTTTTAATTATCTAAGCGAGCATGAAAAAAATTTATTCGCAAATGAAATTCCCGTAAGTTCTCGAGAAATTTATTTAGACTATCATACTTTGGTAATCAATGACCATCAAGGAGGTACAAGTACCGTGACTGAAGGCGGCAATTCTAAGCGGAGTACTGGCGTTGATTATAGATTAAAAAAGTTCTCGAACTCTTGGAAAATTCTTCTCAAACTGCTATAATTGAGCTGTTTGTGAAGTGCAAGTTTTGCTGCAGGGACAATGTCCAGCTTATCTCGAAAAGTAGTCCATGAACGCCTCCCAGATACACGCTCTCTCAAAAATAGGCCTGTTTCTACAGGATGGTCGCAGGACAATTATAGCTGAAGAGGCTCATATGTAAATGCTGTCCGCCTATTACTGCTGCTTTGATGATTTTGAGTAACGATTTTGGAACGCTATACGTGATAAAAAATTTCTAAAAAAAGTGTGAAATACTGATATTTGCATCCAAATTCCTCCATTTTCTGATTCAGTAAATTTGAGGTGTTCTCTTCTTGGCAAAGTGAGCCAAATGTTTCAACGTTCAAAGGACGTTTTCTAATATCTCGCGCATATTTTGCGAGAAAAGTTGCGCTGAGGTGGATTTTGACTGCTAGTAATATTTGCGCATATAGCAGAATTTGAATGCAACTGCAAGTTTGAAGTCGACGAACTCCCCATTCGGTTACTTTATACTGAAACGATTCTTTTTGTTCTGTAAAATGGGCAATGGATCTTTCATCGTCAGAAAGACTTTTTTATGTAGATTAGACAGGTTTTGATACCATTATAATCAAAAGGTGATATCTGAAAGAGTTTTGCTCTTTGTAACCTCAGAAAAAGTGTTGGAAATCAAAAAAATAAAGGCCCTTGCACTTTTAACAGCCTCATATTTACGTGAGCTTTTTCGCATAGCAATGAAAAGCGCAAACTCTGGACTTCCGTAAAGATTTTTTCCGTTCGCGCAAAGTTTTATTTCGTGAAGAGCACTAAATGCGATTTGCATCTTGTAAGAAAAAGCATCAAAAAATCTTTCATATCTTCAGTCTCTCGTGCTTAGGATCAAAGACAATTGTAGCATTAATGCATAACTGAAAGTTTAGGAGTAGTTCCAGAATTGCTATTGCAAAAGCTATCCTCTATTAGAACCAAGAAAACATAAGCAAAAGAAATTTTATTAGGTGACTGTCGGATTTAGCTGCAGGTGGTATATATACACAATGTGTTTGTGACTTCTATGACTTCTGTGGCAATAGCTTTTGTGACGTACTCAGAAAAAAGTTTGGATTATAATAGTTTTTGTTTGCTTCGAAGCTAAAGAAAACTCAAATTAAGCTACTTAAAAGTGACACCAAACCATTGCATCATTAATCTTTTCATTTTCTTTGGTCAATTCGAAGCTTAAGATAGATAAATCCGTTTGTTTTCTCTGCACCGTGTACGGAAAAGTCTTATATCTTGCTCAGATCAGCTCCACTTCAAATTTTTTGTTACAGATGCTGCTAAATCTTCTGTACATACCGATATTTGTCTCTACATTCTCCAAGCAACTTTTGACTATTAGTATAATGCTTTTATCGAAAAGAGACCTCCCTTTCAAAATAAGAAGATAATCGAGCCATCGGAAAACGCCAATTTGTGAACTGACTCATTTACATCGCAGGCTGTTTAGGGCTGTTAAATCCTTAGCCTGAATATGTTACCATCATTACTTCGAGCTCAAAGTGCCATTATCTTATATCACAAATTTATATTAATTGAACAATCAATTTACTCAACTAAATCAATCAAAGCAATATGGAATGTAATAACAAATTAAGAATATAGGCGTATCAATGAAAATCACTTTTGAAGCATAAAGAATCGTACAAATGAACGTAAGAAGAGTATTCTTGATCTTAGGAGACCACTTCATTGAATATACACAAAGCAACAATATGAAAATTGTTATTATATTAAAATTTTCACTTTGCGCAAAACCATGTGGAGCGCTTTGATGTGGCATGCGCTGCCAAGCACAAGCAATACAATATATTCTCTAAACTTTTTAAGATACACTTAGGCTGTCTTCATACTGATTTTATGTTCCGAAACAGTTCCAGCACAGCGCTCGAATTGTGCGCTGTGCTGGAACAGCTCCGGAATTTACGGGTCAGTATGAACCCAGCCTTATGAAACTATTATGCACCAAGTTAGCAAGAGTTGTGGAATTATCCGATTTCGCTGCAAATGAATGCAAAACATACGAGAACATATAAACATAAACATATATGGAAAAAACATAGGCAAAGCTGCAAACTTATCTAACTTTGAGATGTGAAACGATGATTTGAAATACACGATGAAATTGATTTGAACTGGAAGACATTTTCAGTAATCAGATTTCGTGCTGTTGGAAAGCTTGCCTGAACGAAAATGAGAAAAATGACTCTAACATCGTCATGAGAGATGTCCGCTGCTGCATCTCAAGCCTTCCAGCTACACTGGTTGTGAGCTAGTCTTACAGCTACTAGAGGAAGCTCATTTGGCGAGTCAGATACTTGGGTGGCTCTTCTGAAAACGAATTTCTTGATTTGTTAGACTAATTAAGTAGTCGATTTTTTATGAAACTATTATTATTTTTTGAACAACGTATTCATGTGAGAATACGAAAGCTCTCTGCCAATGTAAGAATTACCAAATATGAAATATAGGGTTGCCCCAAATTCTGCCTCACTATGCAAAAAAACCTCCTTCGTATGGTGAATGAATTCTTACTCTGACACAGACGCATATAATATCCCTGTTGAGCATCTCAAGCAGGACAGTGTACAAATGATAAAAATTGAGGTTTCGCTCCATTGATCGATGTCCTTTAAGATTTGAACAGTCATTTCGAGGGCCCCAGACCACATTTCTCCTTGAATTCGTTCCCTATTACATTAAGTAAGTCAATCTCTAGCAATGGTGCTTCTTATCATTGTGTCTGGTACGGGTTGTGCCGGCATTATTTTCACTCTGAACCCCTCAAACCTCGAATTTCACTATTTCACAAATGCTATGATTATTGTT